ACAAGGTTTTCACACACTTTAAAGAATTTATTTGCAAATCATGGTGGAAAATAAGTATTTGGTCAATATCAAAAGTTCATCTCAATACTTTGTTATATATCCTTTGTTGGCAATGACAGAGGTCAAACGTTTTCTGTAAGTCTTCACAAGGTTTTCACACACTTTAAAGAATTTATTTGCAAATCATGGTGGAAAATAAGTATTTGGTCAATATCAAAAGTTCATCTCAATACTTTGTTATATATCCTTTGTTGGCAATGACAGAGGTCAAACGTTTTCTGTAAGTCTTCACAAGGTTTTCACACACTTTAAAGAATTTATTTGCAAATCATGGTGGAAAATAAGTATTTGGTCAATATCAAAAGTTCATCTCAATACTTTGTTATATATCCTTTGTTGGCAATGACAGAGGTCAAACGTTTTCTGTAAGTCTTCACAAGGTTTTCACACACTTTAAAGAATTTATTTGCAAATCATGGTGGAAAATAAGTATTTGGTCAATATCAAAAGTTCATCTCAATACTTTGTTATATATCCTTTGTTGGCAATGACAGAGGTCAAACGTTTTCTGTAAGTCTTCACAAGGTTTTCACACACTTTAAAGAATTTATTTGCAAATCATGGTGGAAAATAAGTATTTGGTCAATATCAAAAGTTCATCTCAATACTTTGTTATATATCCTTTGTTGGCAATGACAGAGGTCAAACGTTTTCTGTAAGTCTTCACAAGGTTTTCACACACTGTTGCTGGTATTTTATTTTTTTTTCTCATTTTGTCTCTCATAGTTGAGGTATACCTATGATGAAAATTACAGGCCTCTCTCATCTTTTTAAGTGGGAGAACTTGCACAATTGGTGGCTGACTAAATACTTTTTTGCCCCACTGTATCATTGGGCTTTCTAGAGCTTCAGTAGGCAACATATGATTCTGTACTGTATCTACATCTATGAAATTAGTGGTTGCCCCCGAGTCTACAAGAGCAGTGTGTTTCACATTCTGTCTGGAATCTAGAGTAACAACAACAGGAGTATTAGGTATGCTTGCCTGCTGTCGGCTGTTTGAGCTCTCCTTAGATGGTTGAGGGCTCCCCTTTGGAGCTCCTGGGAGGGGGGCTGGTAAAGTTTTCCTGGAATGTTGCCTTGAAGTGAGCTGGGTACTTGCTGGCTACATACTCTGTTTGATTTACAAGTTCTGCACTTCACTGCTGTGTCAGATGCTTGAGTTTTCACTGGGCATGATCTGGCTATGTGCCTGGGGGCCCTGCAGTAAAAGCATAGCCCGTTTCCTTCTTCTTTGCTTCTCTTGATGACAGAGATCTCTTGGCTGCTCCAATCTGCATGGGTTCTTCCATGCTGAGTTCTGAGGAGGCCATTGGGAGGAAGGGTATGGGGAAAGACATGATGTAGGTTCTTCTCCCCTTACCATTCCTTCCCCACCTTAACTCCTCCAGTTGGGTGTCTATTATTGCACAATGTTGATACAGCTCTTCCAGGGTATTTGGGGTGCCTTGCCTCACCAGCTCATCTCTCAGATCTTTGACCACTGAGCTGTGAATGTCCGGAATTGGTCCTGGTTCCCTCTGAACTTCTCCTGTAAGCTCCCATGGGAATGCAGAAGCATTGGCTGAGCCACAGGCTGTTGTGCTGCTGTGGTTGAGGCAAATTCTGCCCCAGCTGTTACATTAGTTGTATAATGGCATTCTGCAAGTTGGTCATCTGTGCATCTACTTGCTGCTAGTTTTGCAACAACACTGCTGCTAGATGGTTGGCAGATAGCAGAGTCCCTTGGGGTTTGAAGGTCATTCCTAAAAATCCTCTTTGGAAATGGGTATGAAACTTGTAAGAGTCATGTCAGCCTTACAAGGTAGACCAGACAGGAAATAAGACCAGATGAGCTAATTCTACTTTATTGTAATGCTACGTTAACAGAATCTTGCAAGTCTGAAATTACTTCCCTCACCTCCTCTCTTTTATAGCCCTAAAACTAAGGAAGGTCTCTTCTGAGCCTCTTGCTCCACCCACATGCCTTCAGTGGGCTGAGCTGCCTTTTATCTGACCATTCCCTTGGTTGCTTCTCTTTGCTCTGTCTCCCAAGGTCGTTCCCATGTATCATTACAGGCGGAGCTGTAGCCACAGCTGCCCCAAGTCTCTGCACACACCCTGGGGCTGCCCAGTTACCGCTCACTCCTGCCTCGCCTCTGCAGCATAAAGGTTAGAGAGCCGCCCCAAAAGCAGCAGCGAGCCCCGGTGGAGGGACTCACATGTTGGTGGTGGCTCTTCGCAGGGAGAAGCAGAACCAGGAGGAAAAGCAGAAGCTGCTGCAAGCGGTGGGTCACACGGGGACTTTTGCACCCAGATGTTGGGCAGGCCCAGGGCGGGCTGGCGCAAACCCCTCCCCACAGGGCAGACACGTCAGCATGACCCCCGGCCATGGTGGTGGCTGGGAGGCAGCAGCAGAGGCAAGCCCAACGGAGAGGAAGTAAGGCGAAGACGATGATGAAGGTCAGCTGGGGTTGGCAGCAGGGGTGGAATACAGCAGTTTCTTCATCTTGGCTATGCTGTGCAGGGCTGCCAAAAGGACAGAGATGGGGGGGAGATAGGTGGGTGGAGGGAGTTGAAATGGAGGCAATTCACACAGGGCAGGAGAATGTGACCACAGGACACTGCTACAGTCATAAATGCGGGCTGGTTGCCAGGCACCCAAGTTTTGATTATGTGACTGCGGGAACACTGTGATAGCTGTAACTTTGAGGACCTATCATAAGTCAATTTTTTCAGCACCGTCGTAACTTTGAACAGTCGCTGAACAAATGGACGTAACCTGAGGACTACCTGTACCTGTATAAATATATTAAGAGAAATATTCAACTCAAAAAAAGATAGAAAGGTAGGGATTCTAAGGTATCAATCATTAGTTAATATGCACAGGAGACTAGAAACAAATCAATCAGGAATGAAAATCCTGATCCAGAGATCCTCAAAAAATTTCCTCTGAATCAAAAGTTGATTAAAGCACACAAATACATAGTAAACAGAGAATAAGAACAGGCAAGGCAATTTTGAAAAAAAAAAATAGAGAGGAATGCAGATTGGTCCTCCAAGAAGTTGTACTGGATGAAAGTTACTGAATATTTTAATACTTTATGCCAAGATGGGAGAGTTGATTATGAAAATATATTTTAATGAATTCATTACAGTGTATTTATTCAGTATAAAGGAATAAGTGTACAAAAATTGGAAATGTACAAAGATAGTGTGGGTCATAGATCATACTATTCCATGGTTTTTTAAACCATTTTTTATTTAATCAAACATCATTGGCTGGCATCATACAACCTTCCAACATCACTAGATATAGTAGGACTATAGTTTTTCCTCTGGAGAAGGATCTCTTTTTTTTGTCTTTTTAAGAAAAGTTAAATTGTTTACTGTTAACCATAATGGTTAATAATAATGTTAATAATAATGGTTAAGCATCAATTTTGTTTCTTATTTGTACCAACTCCTCTCCAAGATATCATATCACCAAATACTAGTTAATTTCATTAGCACAATTTGGCAGGGTATGGGATTTGGCTTGCAGACCATGTGTTGTCCATCTTTGGCTAAACTATAAACCATAACCTAAGACTCATTATGGATACTTCGAACTCAGCCATATCCTCAGTATATAACTGCAATGAAAAAGACAAGTTCAGAAATAATTAGGAAAACAGGTAGTCCTCAACTTATGACCATTCATTTAGCAACTGTTCAAAGTTACAACAGCTGAAAAAAGTGACTTATGATTGGTCCTTGCACTTACAACCATTGCATCATTCCCCACAGTCATGTGACCAAAATTCAGGTGCTTGGCAACTGGCATGTATTTATGACGGTTGCTGCGTCCTGGGGGGTCACATGATCATCACTTGCAACCTTCCCAGCCAGCTTCCGACGACAAAATCAATGGGGGAAGCCAGATTCGCTTAATGACCATGGCAAAAAAGTTGTACAATTGGGCGCAGTCACGTGATGCCTTGCTTGACCACTGAACTACTTAACAAATTTTCTGGTTCCTATTGTGGTCATAAGTCAAGGACTACCTGTAGGATAAAATTTTCCAATTAAAGTTCTTAAATTATTGCATTTGGAGCAATCTGCAGAGTTTTGGTCACCTTCTTTTTTAAAGGGATCGTGAAGGAGAAAAATGAAAATGAGAACAAGAAAGGTGGAAAAATTTGGAGTTTTTATTAATGAAGGAAAAATGACAATGGAGGGGGTGAAATCTATAGAGATTTAAGAAGTTATGCACGCTGTGAAAACAGTTGATAGAATATTTCTCCTTTTCATATAATCCTAGAAGTTATGGTCATGTAATGAAGCTAGCAAGGAAATTAGGTCAGTCAGAAGAAAATCCTTTGTTAAATAATGGTAATGGGGCTGTGCAAAGCAGTCAAAAGAGGTGCTTTGCACCACACTGAAATGTGGATGAATCACCTGTGTTGGAACAGTTAAAGCGGTTGTGTCTTTATGGATACACCTGTGTAGTTTTATTGGCAATACTATCAAAGAGGTTTCTAACACTGTTTTAATCCTGGACAGTTTTTCATATTCGTTAGTGGTCCCCCACCAAAGTGCTAGCAAGTCTGACCCAGCTGTGCTTCTTTTTTTTCCCTTTGGAGACCAGTAAAGATTAGCTAGGGACTGCTAATATACAATGTCTTATAAATGGATATAATCAGTGGCTTAGATAGTGCTGACATTCTAGACAGTGGAAGTGGCTGGAGTAGTGGAAGCACTACCCTATGGCTGCCAGGAAGATTACATGGATGTATCCCTATAATCATCAGGAACTAAGCTTGAACCAAGGAAGGCTCTTCCTTTCCAGTAACCTTAAAAAGCAACTAGACCTATTGAAGAAGACAATTCAAATGGAATCTATACATTCAGAGATAGTCCCTGAATTCTCCTTAATGGAGATTGATTAGAAAAGTCTCAGTCAAAGCAGTGAATGTTACCTTTAACCATTTGTCAATGCACTTAGCATGGAACTCGTGGTTGCAGGGCAGAACTCGCAACAGCTGCCTGACTTCAAAGTCACTGAAGCAGACCACACACCTGGGAAGGGTGAAAAATCCAGCCAGTAAGGTTGCAGGAGAACAGGAATGTATGATATACAGAGATATATTGCAGTAAAGCATCTTCTTTCAAGAACTTACAAGGTTTGCTCGGACTGATGGCTCTCTGGGTTGAAGCGGTAGGATGGAAGGTGCTCAATATCTGCTTTGGTGAGTCCCCGTGGCTTGGCCTCCCCTAATCTTTCAGCTAAATTCAGTAATGCCTGATAGAAATCAAAAGGAAAGAAAGGGATACAAAGCAAATGATCCCACTGCTGAGAATACCCCTTTAATTCTTTATAAACTGATGTGGTCTGTAACTTCACAAGAGAGAGAGGTGAATCTTTTCCCATCAAAACTTTAAAGAAAAAAAAGACAGTGAAGTATATTTCATTGAAGTTTAACAGTCTGAAAGCATTAATCTTTCCCTATAACTCATTCCTGTTCTGATTATCCATCCACTTTAATTAACTTTAACTTTTCCATCTTTGGCCTTGGCTACTTTTTCAAATGTCACCCTTGGTATGCCAGATAATCATTAAATGGACCTTCAATCAGAATTGTATACCTCTGCCATAAGAAATGGTCCCAGAAAGGAGGAGCAGTGTGCGCTGCATATTTGCCTCCTCCAATTGTTGCCACTCATTCCTTAAATACCCTCTTCTCAACTGTGTCCCATTTCTCAGCTGTGGACTCTAGGGCAGAGTTGACAGACGTGAGGTTTCATGGATCTATTCTATTAGTGCAACTCAAGATCCACCAGCCAGAACTTGCTGCACACATAATCTCACCACCAGCAGCAAGCACTAAAAGTTACAATTAAAGAACTCTGAGCATCAGAACAGACGGGAGTTCATAATTCTTCCACTCCTGGTGGGAAAGCATTTCATCCCTCCTAATCCTGAACAGTTGGGAGGTAACATCCTTGTCAGTCTGTTGCAAACCCCCCACAGATTCAAGTCTACCTTCTGCCTTTTCTGCCCATGAGCCCTTCTCCATTCTAATGGGCCAACAGAGAGAAGCAAACCTACCTCATAGTTTTCCATCTCTACATCATCCACATCCAAGTCCAAACTTATTGTGGGCCCCACAGCTGTTGGCGATACAGGAAGCATTGAACTGCAATTTTTAAAAAATAGATAGCAGTAAACAGAAATATAAATAACACGTGCACCCAGGCAGAGCCAAAGCATATATTTTGATGGAGGACACTGCTGGGGAAAGATGGTGGCCCACGCTCCCAGAATGGCTATTAGGGAAAGCCGAGCCTTATGTGCTTATTCCAATAAAGGGAGAATATCCAACTTAGATTCTCCCCATTGTGACCACAGATACTCACAGGAAGTATGGCAGGAAGCTTGGGTAATATGGAGGTGGAGGAGGTGGCGGGGGAGGCAGTGGTTGCTGCAATCTGTATCGCTGGGAATTCAGCCGCCGGGGCATCATATGTGGATATGGCTGTGGGAACATCACAAACTATGTCAATGTTGCCTAATCTGTAAGCTATGCATATATTCCATGCCATGTGAAAAAAAGAATTAACATTTTCTATCCAAGCAAATAAAAGTTTGCACTAAGAAAAACTGAGTCCTTTAGCATGATCTATTATGCAAATTAAAGAAGAACATATTCTGCTTTTTACTATGTTGCATCATTTATTCCTGTTGTCCTAGTAACAGAGAACAGAAAGAAGCTATGCAAAGCACTAGAAGCCACATTCTCTGTCACTGGAATTTTAGTCGGCTACCTCTCTCACATCTAAAATATTACAATATTATAAATCTATGCAATCTTAGAAAATTGCAAGCTAAAAGAAGAGGGGAAAAGATAACAAAAACCAAGGTACCCAGTGCAGGTGGAAATATGGTGTAAACATGTACAAGAATGTTCCACATTTTTCAGAGTGACTATCTACAGTAGTACAGGTAGTCCTCACTTACCAACCGCTTGTTCAGCGACCATTCAAAGTTGCAACAGCACTGGACTAGTGGTACATACGACTGGTCCTTGAAGTTCTGGTAGCCGCAGCACCCCCACGATCACATGATCACTTGTGACCTTCCCCGACAGTTTCCCAAAAGGGAAGTCAATGGGGAAGCCAGCAGGGAAGGTCACAAGTTGCTCTGGTAAGTCCTCCTTGGCCTTCCTGTACTCGTACCCCGACACACCCTCCACCCCTGTCTTCCTGCGCTCGCACCCTGCTCCACCATCCAGCCTTCCCGCATTCACACGCAGCCTGCACCAGGCCTCCCCCCATCCCCCCTGCGGCACCCCTATGCTCCTTACCTGGGACTCCCACTGCTTCCCACTTAATGACCCACGTGTCTTGGGGTTATGACAGCAACTGGGACTGCTGGGATTGTTATCACTAAGCAATGCAGTCGCGTGACATCGTGCTTTATGACCACATCACTTAACAATGGCAATCCCTGTTCCAATTGCTGTTGTAACCTGAAGACTACCTGTCAGGTAGACCACAGGCCCATCCACTGAGACTGCCTGTCACACACTCCCTTTGACTGGGTGTGTGTGTGTCTTTTTCTTTATTATCCTTTTGTTTTTCTGCCACTACTAAGCCCCTTTAACAGTTTAAAAATTCTAAAGTAGTATAACCGGATAGAACACAAGAAAGAGAGAGGATAGCACAGGGGCTTGGTTAACACAGGAACAAATTGACTTCTATTAAATATCTAACAAAGGTTCTAAACGAGTTCATCTATTTCTATAAATTCTCTATCCCATCAATGGCCTTTCCTAGCCCTAACATTATTCCTAACCCTGTCTCCCTGACAAGGGGAGATACTCTCAGGCCCGGGCACTGAGCCTCCCTCAGGTACTCCCCATCGACCTGCATCTTCTAAATCCCTCTTGAACTTCCCTTCCTCTGCTGGAACATAACCTAGCAGGAGGTGTCCAGTTTCCATCCTTCAACTGGCAGTTCCATTGCCCAATCATTATACTGCTACCACTTCACCCCACCTCATCCCTCCAAAAAAAAAAAATAGCTCTGGAAAATGTCCTGATAAGGTCTGTGGTCACTCTGTTTGGTCTTATTCAGATATTCCAAGTTCTCGATCCTACTGGGGCATGATGGCCTCCTGTATCCAGACAAAAGATTTTTTTAGACACCCTCTTCTATCTGGTTCAGAGGCTACAGAAAATAGCTCTTCCTTTAACATGGCACTTACCACGCCAAATGGCAATTCTTGGTGAAGTGGGTCGTGTGTGTGTGGAAGATACAATGGTACAGAGGGAGACAGGGCAGGAGTATGATGGGAAGGAGAATATGAGAAGCCTCCCATTGAGTGCTGTTCACCCCGAAGCTCCACCTCGTTTTCTATCCTCTGAAGTGGCTGTGGGAAAAAGAAGATAATACGCATTCTTCATTCACTGGCAACTGCTCCCAAATATGCAAAAAGGGTGAGAAATGCTAGTGAAGCAACTGGAACCAAACCCAAACAGAACCAAAGAATGGCACTGGTGCCAACTCTTGCATACCATCAATAAGATATTTTGCCACGTACCTCCATAAGATTAACTTGTTGGACTAATATATAAAATCACAGAAGCCATTTAAGCCATCAAATCCAACTCTCTACTCAGGAAGCTTTTCCTAACATTCAAGTGGAATGGGTTTTCTTGTAACCTAAGACTATTGTTCCATGTGCTGTACTCTGGAATGATAGAGAACAAGTCTTGATCTCCCCTTCAATGTTCCTGCTACTTCCCTTTCCTCAACTAAGTTTTATCCAGTGGTCAGTAGTATTAAGTCAAAAACAGCTAATTCTCTTGTGCCTTCCCCTATTATCTGGAGAGAAAAGTTGTTAGCAAGGTAAGTCATATTTCCTGGAAGGACCAAGCTGCTTCTTCTCTGTCTTTCAGGGACTGACTGCAGTGTTCCACAGGGCATGCTTTCTTCCCTGAAGGCTCACAGCTTCTTTCTGCTGTGAGATCTGAAAGCTGCTTTTGAGTTGCAGGGATGAGAATTATCTTCTAAGTGTGCTTTTCACTTTTGGCTTACTCTTTTGACTACCTTCCTTAGAGAAGAAGGTTTATTCTGTGAGCTCCTGTTCTAGTGCCTTTTTCATCTTCTCTCATTAACTGAAGTATGGCTACTCAGCGCTCCAATCATCTGACATTTTCTTCAAGCCTTGCTCTATGTTTGTTTCTTTATATCTATTTATTAGATTCATATGGCCACCCAATTCACAAGAAGGATTCTGAGCAATCTACAATGCAAAGGAATTAAATGTAAGATCAAATACAATATGAAATAAAATAATAAACAATTGGAACATAAAATAACAGGGTAACATAACAGAAATAACGATAACAGACACAAAGAAGACTAACCAACACATACCTCATTTAATGGTCTTTCATTCTACATCCCCCAAGCATTGGGCCAGACATAGGATATAGGCTTATCGTATATCTGGCCCAAGGCTTGGAGGAAGAACCAGTTTTTAAGGCCTTGTGGGAGGATAGAAAGGCTGAGACCATCTGAACCTTAGGGGAAATGATGTTCCAGAAGCGCAACAAAGAAGGCACACCCCTGGGCCCCATTAGGGTGACACTATTTTGTGGAAGGGACCCAAAGCATTCTGACTCTGCTGAATCTTACAAGATAAGCAAAGACAATTGGAGACAGGCAGTCCCCCAAGTAACCTGCCCTGTGCCATAAAGAGCTTTACAGATGATAACCAACACTTTGAATTGCATCCAGAAGCTCTTAGGGAGCCAGTGCAGCTTGCAAGCATGGTGTGACATGGGTGTACTGAGGTACTTCCATAATTATTTGTGCTATTGAATTCTGGACTAATTACAGCTTTTGAATGGTTTTCAAGAGTAGCCCCTTGCGGAATGCACTGCAGTCATTTAGACAGGAAATGACTATGGCATGAATGACCACGTACAAGCTTTTCTCTATGCTTAAAACTACAAGATACTTTTAGGGAATTAGTAGATGGTATGCTACAAGTTTCCACACAATAGCAGATACAGCTGTGGGGAAATAGAGCACAGATATTTCTTCCTTCTGATCAAATCTATGGCATCCCAAGAACTTACCATGCGAGGATGCTGTGGCTGGAGTGGGACAAACTGGCCAAGGGCTGCCATATGTGGAGGCTGGTGTGGTGGCACAGGTGGTGGAGGGTGCAGGATATAATGATCACTGGAAATGAGTGGTGGGAATGTTTGATAAGATACATGGAGTTGCTGCATGGCACAGGCCTGGATCAGCTGTAAGAAAGGCAGAAAGACAGTGTCCTCAAAAGAAAGCTACCTACAGTGTATTTAGCATCAGCATGTCTATCTGAAAAACAATTGACCTCAGCCTGGCAATCAAAAGGGAAGAATCCATTTGGCAACAAAATGCCATCTCCAAAGACTAGCAAAGACCTAAGGGTCTTTAAATGGAATACCAAGTTATTCCTACCTTGCTGGATCTCATAGGATAAGCAGAGAAAATTGGGAACAGGCATCCTCAAAATCCAGCCCTATTCATGAAGGGCTTTATAGCTGAGGACCAGCACCTTGAATTGCACCCAGAAGCCAGTATAGCTCACAAAGTAGTGATGAAGTAGTGGTGTATCATGCAGGTACCAAGCCATGTCCATAATTATCTACAATGCCGAACTGTGGACCAGTTGCAGCTTCCATGTGTTCTTCAAGGGCCCCATGTAGAGCGTGTTGCAATTATCCAATGGGAAGTGACTAAGGCCCAACTGACTGTGAGCAAAACCTCACATTCCAGGAACAGGCACAATTGGTGCATAAGATGAATTTGAATGAAACTTCTCCTGGCCATGGCTGCCACCCAGCTACCTTATTCACAACCTTCTTCCCAAAGGGGAGGTCGGAAACTCAACACAAATTATTCAGTATTGCTGGGTCCAGTAATGGTTCTTCAGTGGTGGGGGGGAGGGGGAGGTGACCACCGCTTCCTTAAGTGAGGACAGGACCACCACTTCATTCAGTGATGAATTAACCGCCACCTCTTGGACAGCCATAACCAGCAAAGAGGACATGGATATAATATACAGGTGACCAAGTTTACAATTCCGAAGACTCTGTACACTTCTTCAGGATCAACAGGTTCAGAGTCTTCTCAGGTAACACAGTCAGATCATGCCTCATAGGATCTACACGACCAAAGTTTAACTTGGGGTAGATCTGAGCAACTTAATCTGTCAGATGCCTTCAATACTCCTTACAATGGACCTGCCTCTGCCTCTGAAGAGGGCCACTGACCAGTAATCCGCAGACATAAGAACAGAAAAATAATTACATTTTGCTGCTCCTATAGCCACAAGGTAATCCTTCATAAAGTCCATGTTCTTTCAGATTCATCCTCTGTTTTTGTTTTTTCAGTGGTGCTCTAGGTATCTGGTTCTGCCATTTCATCTCCTGTAACTCCTGTGAAAACCAGGGGGCACCACAGGATCCACAAGCAGTGAGGGAATGTGTAGGTGCAATCCAATCTATAGTCATCATTGCACTTTTGTTCCAAGCAGTGACCAAGGCCTTGTTCAAACTGCATCAGAGCCTCCAGAACAACCCCAAGCTCCATCTGCAGCAGGGAACAGCCATGGAAAACTCCAAAGCAACCAGAGTGTGATCAGACTATGGCAGGGATCTGATGTGACCATCCAGATCGTGGTGCCACTGTCCCAAGATGAAAATCAGATCAAGCGTGTGACTTCTGCTGTATGTCAGACCCTTAATGACTGGGGTCAGGTCCATGGCTACCATAAACTCCCACCCCACACCTAACCAGGTATTGGTAATGCATGCCAGGTCAGCCCTCTCATCCATAATTAACTCCTGCTCTCCTTAAGTCAAAGGACTCACAGGGGGTGGGAGGCAGCAGAGTGGATAGTGCTGTCCGCTGAACATCACTGAGCATGCTGGGAGCTGCTGCGCACTGCAACCAGGGATGTGCTGGCCAGTGTGAATGGGGAAGCCTTGTGTTGTTACTGTGGTCACCGTGTAGGAGAGAGGGACAGCTCCCTGATGCACCTGGAGGGGAAAGGGAGATAAAGCAGAATCAAATCCTATCCAAAGTATTTTATACTTTCCCCCTCATCTCCTAAATATGACAGTGTAGATTTGAAACTAAGCAATATTAGAAAAGGAAGTGCTGATCAGATTCAAACCATAAAAGGAGGTAATTTCAAACCAGCACAAACACCAAAGAATAAAGATGAAGCATTAGGGATAACAAATCAAAGGTATATAAACTTGGTGATACACGTTTCAGATAACCAAAACACAGAATCAAAAACAATTCAAGTTCAAAATCCAAGTTAAGTGTTCGTCATCCAAAAATTGAGGGAATGGGAAAATCTCTCTTGAAAAATACTCTTCCCAGATTGTCATGTATAAGTCTCTAAGACTAAACTACAGCCCTCAGCTTTTTCTAGTAATCAGCAGTCCAGTTTTTTCTCTATTTATAAAATGTATATCCTGCATTTTCACTGTTCTTTAACAAGCTTATCAAAGGATATTATGAGTGTCCTAATAACAATCATGACTCCAGTGTGCTTTGTTGCCTTTCCTGAAAGTGGTACTTTTTAACTTTATTTCATATAATTTGTTTATTATGAAGTTTCCTACTATATGTACAGTGCCCAGGAAAGATTTATATTTCAAACACACTAGGCTCAAAAGCAAATAGCAGCACAACCTGTGTTTCTTTTCTTTTCCTTGAAAATGTTTTCCTATGTTGTTCCATTAGTCTAACAAGCTTTTATGCTGGAGCATTAACTGCTTAGCCTAAAAAGTGTTAATCTCTTCCTGTGTGTTGTTGGAACATGAACTCCTGTCAGGCATGCTACTGGCCTAGATTCAGGCTGCTACAGGAACAATCTCTATTTTTTACTTTTGTTTGATGTTGCTGGGAATTTAATGTAGCTAAATCAACACACATTCATAATCCAGTGTACAACAACTGTATGTTGCCAACTTGCTGAGAAATGATGCCAACCAACAAAGAGACTAATCAGTATGCATCAAGACGTTTCTGGTAGAAAGGCCAGAAACATATTTGCATGAAAGAAATGTAGTCTATATTTCAGAGTATTGGAGCAGAGATGGCAAGCACGAGGTTCATCAGATACATCCTGCTGGATTACGGCACCCATAATTGTTGGCTACCATGGATGTCTCTAATGACAGTCTAGCAATATCTGCAAACCAATGGATTCTTAAAGAGGCCTGCCCTCAAGCTATCTGCAAGGACTGTTTGACACTGAAGGAACCACCTCACCTAGAGAAGGATAAGCAAGATCAACAGGACAGAAACCTAACTGGGAAGTCAAAGGCCAAGTGCTTGGACCTGATGGAAGTTGTCCTTCAGAATTCTAGGAGCAGCTGTGTGAATGTTGCTGTAGAAACAAGATTCCCAAAGTTATAGTATTCACACAGGTGAGGAAGGATTCATTGTTCAAAGAATAAGGAATTTAAAGGACCTGGATGGATTCTCCCCTAAGATTTGCATACCTAAAGTACTGATTGCACATTACACTGATTATAATTTCACCACTGCCACTCTGGTTTCCTCAGCTTTTATCAAAAATATGCTGGATTCTGGTGCATACATTTTAAAATGCGTAAACATCTTAAAATCAACTCAACTCAAAAGGTGAAACCAATATATGAGATAGACGCATTACATGCAAAGC